AGACAGCCTGCGCCCCTCCTTCGTCAAGAACTCAATGAGGACATGTTGCTTCTGCTTGTAATACATTATTTACCTGCAATGAAAAAGAAGAATTACTATGGAAGAAGATTAACCCCGCCAACATGTGAAATTTGAATGACTTAAGTAAGTTATTAAAATGGCTATGGCGTCTTTTGCATTACTTTTGATACAGTGCACATATAAAACAGACATAAAAGGCAAGGGTCTGACTCGGTCAACAAAGCTTCAACTGGGCCATATTGAATGAGGCAGTGAGCAGCGGTGGGGGGGGGGGGGGGTGAATAGCTGAGAAGCAAAGGAGAGAGAGAGAGAGAGAGAGAGAGAGAGAGAGAGAGAGAGAGAGCAGATTACAAGGCCCTACAAATCCGCCTGGAAAAAATTCAGACGTTTTTTTCTGAGGACTACAGAACCCTGCCCTCTGATATGGAGAAGTGGAAAGGAGGAAGTTTCTAAACTCATGTGCTGTTTCTGTTGTCCTGATACAGTGGGGGTAGTGAGCATTGTCACCCTAGGACCAAAAGTGTGTTATTGGCAGAATCTACAGGTGAAAAGAAAAGCTAAGACAAAAGAAAATGAATGCTGCCACCACATCTAAGAACTGGAATACGGCTGATACAAAGACGCTTATCAGGAGGGAGCTAACTTTGGAATCTTCATTTAGCAAGCTGATCTTCTGAGTCCATATGGGACCAAAAGTGCAGTTAGACCGTAACATTGTATAATGTGAAGTCACACTGCGTAAGGTGAGCAGATATATGGGGGAGGATGTCTTTGCACGGGAATTTATGACAAATGCACATATTTTACATTATCCAAAGGAGGGTTCACTGAAGAACACTTTATTGATTGAACTTGAGTTTTTGAAGGACTTTTGTTTGATTCATACTTAAAAATATTTTTTTTATTTTTTGTGTGGTCTTTGTTTATATATATATATATATATATATATATATATATATATATATATAAATTTTAATATATATATATATTTTTTTTTAAATTTTAAACTTTATACTTTTTCCAACAATTTTATATTCTATATATTATTTTATTTAATTTTTCACTTTGTTTTTTGTTATATATGGATTGTGCAATTGTTTCATGTAGCGCAACATTTTTTTAACTTCACAATATGATTGTATATTACACATTAAGTCATATTGATAGGTCAACCCACCCAGATGCAATTTTATAGTAGTGACGTACATTAATAAGATCAGTTTAGCAAGAGGGTTTATATTCTTCCTGCTGCAGAAAAAAAGAAGTGAGCATACATGTTATGGGGAAATTGGGTCACAAATTATTTTAAGGCTGAACTCTAGGTGGAGATAAAAGATACACTGCATGCATTGAGAAAAAAATGTATATTTAATGGTGTATTAATGACTATAAAGATGCATCAATGTGTAAGTACCAAAATTTGACCTGGCATCAGCTTCTTTAAGTCTCTGTATACCAGAGCTGGAGTGTGAGAGGAAGAAGCAGTACAAGGCTTCAGTTTATGTGCTGACAAAAAGCATGCTGATGAAAGGAGAGGGCAGGGAGCAGAAAGATAAGCTAATCATTGTGCTGCTTCTTGTTTTACTTTCCAGTCACAGGGTGGGAGAGGTTCAGGAAGGCCTGGGCTCAGAAGAAGTGGGTGAAATGATGCTGGCCACTACATTGGCAATATCTAGTGCCAGCAAAACAAGTTCTATGATAGAAATTGCCAAGTTGAAAGGATGATAAGCGTTCTGGCCAACAATTCATGGCCGGGACTCGGTGATTGGCGGAGAAACTGACAGCGGAGAGCTCCGTTTGTAAATAACACAGATCTCTCACCGGTCAGCAGGGACATTCTGTTTTCTATCTCTCTGCAAAGCAGAGAGATAGAAAGCAGCACATCCCCTAGAAAAACAGCACAGTAAGCACAAAGCAGTACACAACTAACCCTTTGATCACTCCAGAGGTTAACCCCTTCCTTCCCAGTGTCATTAGTACAGTGTCAGTGCTCTTTATTAGCACTGGTCACATTATTAGTGTCACTGGAGATGTCAGTGGCAGTTAGTCAGTTCCCACCCAGTGTCAGTTAGTGTCAGAATGCTTGCCGCAGTCTTGAAGTCTCTCTAAAGGTCGCTGATCGCTGCCATTACAAAAAATGGATATGTTTTATAGAAAAAAGTAAAAAATATTTTTTTTTTCAAAATTGTGTCTTTTTTGTTTAAAAAAATAAAAAAAACAAATACAACCAAAAGAAAGCTCTATTTGTGGGGAAAAAAATGACTTAAATTTAATTTAGGTACAGCATTGCATGACTGCTCAATTGTCAGTTAAAGTAATGCAAACGTATTGCAAAAACTTGCCTGGTCATGAAGGGGGTAAATGTTCCTGGGGCAAATGGTTATTGAATGTTGGAGTCTTAGATATATCTAAAAACAAATGTTGAAAATAAAAAATACATTCCTTTAATTTCATGCACATTCAAAACCAGGACAGGAATGTCAGCTTTCTGAACTATTCAGGCTCTATAACATTGCACAGTCCTGTCATGTTAATATGTCCCAGCACTGTAGACTTGGTGGTGTCACAGGGGGGGTTAGATGGGGTTTACAGGTTTTCATAATGTACAATTTTTGTTGACATTGGCTCACAGAAGTGCAGATTCAGTTATTAGTGGCTGAGCTTTTTTGGTACTAAGCAAGTATTTTGATAAGTTTATTTCTCTCCCTTTGAAAATACTGTTTTCTCTCTCAGACACATCTTTAAAAAAGTATCATTCAAATTATAAAGCTTTTCTCCTGTAGCATGTAGTCTTTTCAATTTAATGTTATAACATTTGAACAGCAGCACCAGCATTCCTGAAAAACCAGGCAGGAGGCCTTTGGGGGGATCTCCCCCTAAAATTAGCTAGGCCTCAGAGCAGAGGCAGAAGCCCTGGGAGGGGTCTTCCTAATAAATTAGCCAGGGTTTAGAGTTGAGACCGAAGGCTCTTGGAGGGGTCTTCCTAAAAAAATATTAGCCCTTGGGGGAGGATCTTCCAAAAAATAACTATGGCTTAGAGCAGCCGTCAAAGGCCCATGGTGAGTTCTTTCTACAAAAAGTAGCCAAACCACAGAGCTGGGGCAGAAGACACTAGAAGGGTCTTCCTTAAAAAAATAGCCAGACTACAGAGCAGAGGCAGAAGTATCTTGGATAGGTCTTCAAATAAAAAAATAACCATGGCATAGAGCACAGGCAAAGGATCTTAGGAAAGATCTTCCTAAAAACCAGCCAAGCCTCAGAGTAAAGGTAGAAGGCATCTGTTCTGTCATTTGGCAAAAAGGTTCTTTTCCTAGTAGTTGTAAAAAACATCCAAAAGAAATGATAGGCCGTGTCACTACTAACTTTTTGTGACTTGTCAGACAGAAAAGAAATGTCAGATCACCTGTATAACTCAATGGATTGTGCGACTACAAATGCATGCACACTAAATAGTGTCCTTTATTTTCTTTTAACAATGGTAAACAGAGATTCACTGTATCTACCAACATTTAGGCCCCTTCCACACAGTCATTCCATTTGTTCATTTTTCATCCATCCGTTGATGGATGAAAAATGGAAATCAATGCACCTCTATGGAAAAACAGATGATCATCTGTTTACATCCATCCACATCTGTTTTTTGGAACTGGTCAAAGCCCTATTTTTGGTCCAAAAAATAAAAAAGAAACAGATGAAAAACGGATGTAAACAGACATCTGTTTTTGCATTGGTAGTGGATGTAAAAAACTGATGTAAACTGATGAAAAACTGAACCGTTTTTTCTTTGAAAAAAGTGACTAAACTGATGAAAAAATGGAACACCCATGTGAAAGGACCCTTGGGCATCATGCACACAAGGTGTTTGAAGTTCTGCTTTGAAAGACCTTTACTCTGACAGAAAATAGCATCTTAAAAATGCACCTAAAGTTGCAAACTGCAAATGTTTGAGCATTTATGGATTTCATTGGACAGAATACTAATTTATTCTTGCCATTGGAACGAAGGAACGCTCAAGCGCTAAACGCATTGTTTAGATGTGTTTTTGTGCATTTTTAGGTGTGTCTTTTATCTGCACAAAAAGATTTTCTCCTGAATGCACGAATGATGGGTAATCTTTCAACCCGTAAAAGTTCCTCTTCAAATATGCCTGCAAGGACACATAGGGTAACAGGCCCTGTATGCATGAGGCCCCTACTTTGCAAAGCAAAAGTCTCTATTAATTGACCTTCAGCCATTAAAATTACTTTCTTCTAGATCCTCCCTTTACCAGTCTCACAAATGCAGATTATTACATTATTTTTTAATTATATTCTGCCCATTTCATTGCTGCACCACAGCACTTTTTTCTTGACAAAGACACCAACCCCCTCTTCTCCGTTACCTCCTGGGATTTCCAGGAGACAGTTTTGAAAACAGGTGCATGCACACTGTAAGATTCTACACATGCACCGATGAAGTATAGATCCTTGAGGCCCAGCAAAGTTCTGCAGGCAGATGCTTCAGTTGTGAACGTCCCATATACCAACGTGTGTGCGCATGCTCAGGAAACTACACTCATGCACAGATATGCCACAGGCCTGTGAACCCAAGGATAGGGCATAGACTTTTGGCACAGCTGATATGTCTCAAATGCATGGTTAAGGAATGGTGGGGCCAGTATATCGAGGGACTGAAGCTTCTCTTTACCCCCATTATCTGCTTATGTAGTGACATTTTTTAAATGTTTATAGAATTTATAAAACTACAATTAATTATATATTTGTATTTTCCCTAGCCCTGTGGAATCATTTCGATGCCAATACACTGCTACCTCTGTTTTATTTCTAAAGAGTAGTAAACAACAAACATTTTGATCCAACGGTGTATTTGTAAGTGTATTTAGTCTATACCTAACATTATAGTTTCCAAATCATTTAACATTTTTATTCGGATATTTCAAACTAAATGTATAATTTTTTGCAAAAATGATTGCCCAAAAAATGTTTATTAATCAGTCTGTCACTGAATTCGTCATAGTAGGATTCAAAGATATTGCTGACCAGTACAATCACACTTTATTTTTCCTGCTGATTATTTTTCTCTACATTTTCATCTCTTGTGGAAATGCAGTTGTAGTGCTTGTGATTATTTTTGAGTCTCGCCTGCATAAACCTATGTACCTTTTCATCTGTACCCTATCAGTGGTTGAGATATGCATTGTCTCGACAGTCTACCCAACATTGCTGGCTCTTTTCTTTAAAGGAAAGGCATACATCTCATTTGATCATTGTTTTTTGCAAATGTACGCTTTTGATGCTTTCTTAGTCATGGAGAATTATCTTTTGACTGCAATGGCCTTTGATCGGTATGTAGCTATTTGTAAAGCTCTTCAATATCACACCATTATGACCTTAAAGACCTGTAAGATTTTGATATGTTTATGTTGGTTACTTGGATTCCTGAGCCCATTAGGCACAGTTATCCTGGTTTACAGATTACCTTACTGTGGACCCAATGTAGTTGAGCATATCTTCTGTGATTCATCTCCATTGTTGACACTTGCTTGTTCCAATAGCGATATTAACGTTGCAATGGATTTATCTGTTAGCTCCTTTACAGTCATATTGAATTCCATTTTTATTGTTATTATATACTCAAATATATTGTTTGTTATACTAAAGATGAGAACATCGGTGGAACGGAAAAAGGCCTTCTCTACTTGCACATCTCATCTAATTATGTCACTTATTTTCTATGGAAGTGTTGCCTTTATGTATATACAGCTTCAAGAGAGTTACTCTGCAGAGTATGACTTAGCATCAGCTATCCACCAATCAGTCCTGACCCCACTCTTGAGTCCTCTTGTTTACAGCTTTCGAAACAAAGAAATTAAGAGTTTTCTTAAGAGGATGCTTAAGATTAAGAACTATTAATGAACGCTGCACAGCCCTGGGAAGAGCAAGCCAATAAAGATTTAACGTATGTGCTCCTTTGCGTCTATTTTTAGTAAGGAAGATGAGGGAAGAAAGAGATATAATGTTTTTATTTTAAGAGCAATTTCCCATTTAATAACCTATTCTATCAAAAATAGTTCCTGAAAGAGCTGCACATAAATTAAACCCTTATGAAAACAACCATGGGTGCTCCTACTCTACGTTTGGGATGAGGTGCACATTCAGGTTCAGCTCTTCCATGGGTTGGAAGCAATCCTTGCACATTTGAGGCTCATGGATATACAATTTCATTGGGCTGAATTTTTTTGTAACCATAATGCATTGCATGGCCTTTGAACCTGGCTCATCTGGCTTAGAAGGGCCAATATTGGGGGTTTAATTATGCATTACCTCCTCACTATAAATGAGTTGATTCCCAACAGCCAATTGTCAGTGTGTGTTTGGGTAGTCTACCATACTTACCAGCTGTACCAGCCCTCTTTTAAGTCAGTAGTCTTGCAATGGCTGTGTACAAGCATCACAGCCTGATGCTCACTGTCTGCATCCTTGTCCAGGTCAAGGACATGTCTTTTCCCTCCATTGATGGCTCAATCACAGTCTAGTGGGTGCATGAAAGGTACAAGAGCCCTGATTGATGTGTGCAATATGCACAGCCCAATCATTTATTCAAAGCATTTTTAGTTTAGTTGCTGAACTGCAGAAATGCACAACAATCCATTTAATATTATTTCCTATGGGTCCCATTCACATCCATGCAGTTTCCCTCAGTGCATTTTTTTAAAAGCTGCACTGACTTTTTTATGCGCAGGATGGCGCGTTTTTGGGTTTATAGACTTCAATGGAAGCATATTAAAAAGACATTAAAAGTGCATTTTTTTGTGTTTTGTTTTTAAAAACCAGTCTCCTCCTACAATAAAAAAAGCCAAGAAGCATGAAAATCCATTTGAAAACATGAAAACTGTGCTGCAAAAACACAAAAATATGCATCAACCGCACACACACACACGTGAACCAGTCCTACGTTTGGATACAATTACATTTTTGATATGAGAGGTTAAATGTCTCTTAGGGCGAACAGGTGGATTTTTGAAGAATTAGGACTGGTTAACACTAATGCGATTTCAGATGTTACTGGAGTCACACAGAATCACATAACAATGAAAATCACAATATTCTCTATGGTACCTGCACACATCAATGCAGCACAGAACAGTGCATTTTTGAAAAAGGGTCTGGCGCTACTTTGCTGAACTTGCAGCCTGATTTGGGCCCCAAAGACATTAATGGAAACAGACCGGAATGCATGCACATCTGTTTTTGCCACATGTTTCGGCTTAAGGAACTGGCAAAGGCTGGTATCCTAAGAACAAGTGACTCACTCCTACTGTCAGGAAGAATGCTATGGGTTTCTGCAGACCAAACCAGTTTCATACCCACCAGATAGGTCACCAATATTCTCAGATTGGTCGCAAAGATTATCCTAGATGCCAATATATATTCTCGCTTAGTATTTCTCTTTTGCCTTGACATACACAAGGCCTTTGATAATGCACTTGGTCCTGTATAAATCACCACCTATCTAAATATGGTTTTAAAGATGAATTTTTGTATGACTTTCAAGACTTCTACCATGCCTCTCAAACCAGAATTAAAGCAGAATTCCAGTCAAAGTACAAAAAAAATTAAAGTCAGCGGGTACAAAAACTGCTGATTTTAAAAAACAGACACTCACCTGTCCCTCGATCCTGTGGTGTCCTCCTCAGAGCCCGTTTTATCGGCTGTCTTGTGTTCCTTGCACTGACATCTTTAGTGTGGGCACCCAGCTGGGACAGCTTGTGGCTTCACAGTTGGGTGCCCACTGTGTATGCAAGACTAGCGATTCTGAAGGGTCCCGAAGTCTTCTGGGACGTGTCACATGTCAGGAGACTGTGGGAAGGGAGGGGGAGAGGACAATTTCTGCTTCCAATCGCCTAGGCAATCGCAGCGGAAGTGGGAGCAGGTATCCCGGGTACCAGCTCCCCCCCCCCACTCCCCAAAGGTGCCAATCCTTAATCGGGGGATCGGGGGACCAGTCCTTAAAGTGGAACTTTCCCTTTTGAGCAGAGCTCCGCTTTAAGCTCTTGGGTGAAATTTTCCTCCTGGGACTGGGCAAGTGACATAGGTGCTCTCTCTCGCCCTTCATTTTTACATTAGCAATCAAACAACTGGCTTGTGTTATTAGATGTATTTCTATAAAAAGTATATAATAGTACCTACTACAAAATCTCTATTTACCAAGCAATTACATTCATGTAACCAAGTGACTTACTATAATCAAATTAATAGTCCCTAAATATTTAAGACGCCAAATCCATAAATCAAAATCACAAAAATCAATCAATAGGTGGCGACAATTAAATAAAGCTAAATAAATTAATTTATCATCAAGTGCAAGGCATGTATAAAGTGTTCAGTGTTTCAAAAGGGTCATGTGCAAAAAATCACAATAAACATGTATGCGAAAAGTGTCCGTGTTGTCAGTCTTCAATCTCACAAAAATTCTCTTTCTCGGTGTTCATGCCAACATGCAAAGCTTTTAAGTGAAAACTTTCAACAGTAACACAGAATGACTCACCAGAACCAAAAACCCTTCTAATCAACGGGTCAAATCATGCTCAATCAATTTATACAGTGTGGTGGATACCATTGTTTTCCCTATGTACTATACCAAGCAAACTACCTGCCACTGGCCACGGAATGAATGTTTGCAGCTTACAGATTAACTTACATTGAGGAAGATTTACTAAAACACAGAATCTGGTGCAGCTGTGCATAGTAACCAATCAGCTTCTAGATTTTATTGTCAAAGCTTAATTGGACAACCTGAATGTAGAAGCTGATTGGTTACTATGCACAGCTCTATTAAATTTTAGCAAATCTACCCCATTATCTCTGCTCCATCTTTTTTTTTTTTTATTAAAGTGTGAGTGCAATATTTTATACTTTTATTAAAGAGATTATTACATGCTTTACTATGTCAATATGATTTCTATTTGTTTAAACTTCTCGGTCTTAAGTTACTGGGTGAAGATCTCCAACCATTTTTTTATATAGGTACCATATGTGCTTTGTGCCAAATTCCCAGTACATTGTGAAACAATGGCTTAGAAATAACTTACTTTACTTTTTTTGAAGACCTTTGAGCATAAATCACTTGGTCCAGATGCTGTATTCACATTTATTTTGTGTTCATTTCTGAACCATACAATTTCAAGTTACGGTGGTACACTTGAAATTGTGTAATGTCTTCTGCATATTGTACATTTTTGCATGTTCTCCCTGTGCCTGCATGGGTTTCCTCCAGTATGATTTTCCTCCCACACTCCCGAAGACATGCTGGTAGGTTAACTGGCTCCTGTCTAAATTGTTCCTAGTATGTGCATGAATGTGGGTTAATGACCTTAGATTGTCCTTGAGGTTAGTGACTGATGTGAATGTACAATATATATTTAAAGTGCTGTGTAATTTGACAGCACTATATAAGAACCTGTAATAAATGGAAATAATTAAAACAATAATTATTTTGAAAGCTATATATGTAATGAAATAACCTAATGGAAATAAACTCATTACGGTATGATAATTATTTAAATGTAATTAATATGTTTTTCTGTTTATAGCTTATGATTTCTTATGTAGATGAATAAAGCCACATGTTCTCATCACATATACAGACTACACTTACTGCTTTAAAACACTGTAGTTGAAGTATGCTATATTGCTTTTTTTCCCCAAAGCAATCTACGAGTCAGCTGACCCATTGAAAACAGTGATTTCCACATGTACTGCTAATAAATCACAGCATAATTGGGTATTTAAAACAGATACTTAATCTGAAACTGATCATACCGGAATTCAGCTAAGGATAGTATAACTGTTTATTACTGCAAGCATCTGCTGCATGTCATCATAGTTATTAGTATAAATCGACTCTGGTCAGCAGGTTATACAAGAATAGTGTGATCACATCGCAATATGGTTTTCAACATATAGTTACATAGTTAGTCTGGCTGAAAAAAGTCCATCCAGTTTAAACATAAAAAAAAAGTTATAATTCTCAACCCACACTTGATCCAGAGGGGGAAAAATTCCTTCCTGATCCCCTGAGAGGCAATTGGATATTCCCTGGATCAACTTTAATGTTAGTATCCAGTTTATATTCTGTGTATCTAGGATAGAATTCAGACCTTTTTTAAAGCAATCCACTGAGCTGGCCAGAACCAACTCTTGAGGGAATCTATTCCACATTTTCACAGCTCTCACTGTGAAGAAACCTTTCCGTGTTTGGAAACTAAATTTATTTTTCTCCAGACATAAAAAGTGCCATCTTGTCCTCTGTGATTACCTCATGGTGAATATCTCTACACCGAGCTCACTATATGAACCACTGATGTATTTATACATGTTGATCATATCCCCCCTTAATATCCTCTTCTCAAGAGAGAATAAATTCAGTTCCTCTAATCTTTCCTCATAGCCGAGCTCCTCCATGCCTCATCAGTTTTATTGCCCTTCTCTGTACTTTCTCCAGTTCCCCAATGTTCTTTTTGTGAATTGGTGCTCTAAACTGAACTGCATATTCCAGATGAGGTATTACTAATGATTTGTACAGGGGTAATATGATATCTCTCTCTCTGGAGTCTATACCTCTTTTAATACAAAAGAGGATGTTGCTCGCTTTAGAGACCGCAGCTTGGCATTGCATATCATTATTACCATATGATCTACCAGAACTCCCAGATCCTTCTCCACCATTGATTCCCCCAGTTGTACCCCCCTAGTATGTATGATGCATCCATATTCTTAGCCCCAAAGTGCATAACCTTACATTTATCAACATTAAACCTCATTTGCCACATAGTTGCCCAATTAAACAGTGCATTGAGGTCGGTAAGTTGGAGACATCCTGGGAGGACGTTATTCCGCTGCACAGCTTGGTG